ATCTAAGCTTTAATATTATATAAGGACGTAATATTCTGCAATGTTAGCTATAATAATAACCACAATGCTCAAAGAAGCAAGGTCATATTTATTTACAAAGAAAGTACAGCACTAACAGAGAAATCTAAACCAATATTACAGAGTATATAGGAATAATAGTAAATATGATACGTTACGTAAGTTTGTCCTCAAAGCTAAGTATCTTTTAGCTGGATCCCAGGTAGGAAATGGTCAAAAGAGACAGAGCCTGGCCAAAACTGTCTTTAAAAGCCCTCTCAAGCACCATTCACACACACACCCTTGACCCGCCTGGTGTAGTTCTCCATTCAATGAGAAAACGTACATAACTCATAAGGGGCTGTCCTCCCTATTCATTAGGAAGTGTAGTATTACCCCATCCCAGAAGTAGGTCGTCTCCACCAGGGGGCACAGCTGTATTGCCAACAACGCTCGGACCCAGGTCAATCACATCTGACTTCTTCCTTTTGGCTGGAAGACATGTAATCTGTGCTTTTATTACTCATGTCACCGAGGAGTCTAGGCTGAGGCTCTCTTATCTCCATGTCCCACCGCTAGGGGGTATGTGTGACCTCCCAGAACAAGGATTTTGGAATGCAGCCTTCTGTTACACACATCCTGTTGTAAACACTTGCTTTTCTTGACACTCCAAGATAACATTCAATAGGCCAAATAGTTCTTTGACAACAGGCAGTAAGAATCCTTAAATGTCTGATGTAGAAACATGTTGCCTTCCTACAAACTGCTATGCTATGTACTTGTATGAAAGTAACCTTTTCTCTTTGCATTGCTTCCTTTGCGTGAAATTCCTGGTGTTCCTGCCAGTCCCTCTGCTTTCCTATTAAAAACTAACCACACTAGGCAGGAGAACACAGCAAGCTCAGTGTTTTGGCTGTGCTGGGAACTCAGCCTGCTCTACTCTAATGTTGAGTCTTGCCCTGACAAGCCCCGATCACTTATAAAAAAGGGGAAAAAGATATTTACAATGTTGATAGGTCAATTTGATTTGCAGATGGCAGAACTCAATTCAGAATCAGAACTGAATGCGATCAGGAAAGTTTAATTATTAATTCTATAACTATCAAGTCATTTGAAAAGAGTATTATCGGCGATATAAATAAAATGGGTAATATATATCCAGCAGTGCAAAAATGCCACTACCTGAAAAAAAAACGTAGGTAGCCGCTCATCATAATTATGCCTGGGGTGGAATAAAGGTGGTCACTTGTAATACAATCCAGGTTAATTTTACTGCATTCAAAGAACAAATTATTCCCTTTCCCCCCATGGGAGAGATGGGAATACAGGTTAAGTGACTTTAAGTGTGTCATAATAGGAAATGTATGAAAGAAAAGTCTTAAGTGTATTAAAAAATGTCTAAAAAGATCATAAGTGGAGCAATATACAGTATATCATTGGACAGGTAAGAGACATTTTGCATTGTAGAAGATTTTATTTGCTTCTGTCTGGACGTAATGTAAGAATACATATGGGATCAATGCATTTCACAAAAACTGCTTCATTAGGACCCATGCCAGCAGAAGGCTCCTTTCACATGAGCAGGCCATCTATCCATTTTTCATCCATCTGTCAGATGACAAATGGATGGCAATGCATTCCTATGGACAAATGAGTGTTAACGGATGAGCATGCATTTATCATCCTTTCACATTCGCGTTTGTTCCAGTATGTTTTTTTTAAACGTACATGGGTACACTCAGATCTGTCAAAACGGACATGAACTGATGTTAACGGACTGCGTCCACTAATGTCCGCTCACTTAAGATCCGTTTGTAATGTTTTTTTTTTTAATGTATTGCTTGTGAAGTTAACCTATGACCAAGGTAGTGGTCTACAGTAGGAAGTACTGTACATTCTTCACATGAAGAACATGGCCAGGGACATCTCACAAGACCAGGCTTGTGGGACACAACATGTCGGGAGCACAATGAAAGAATGGCAGAAAAATGTAAAATTGTGTCAACAAATTGGCCCACCATGAGTAAAAGCATGTAGCAGTCTGAATAGTATGTATTGTGATTTGTCCTTTTTAGTAATGCATGTGATTTTGAGGTCAGTGCAAATCCTTTCTGGCCTGTTTGATGAAGAGTGTATCTCATCCTTGAGGGACATCATTGCTGTGTCCATCTCAACACAAGCCACCCTTGCTGCATGCCAAGATTTTGTGGTGAACATTAGAGGCTAAAAATCTTCAACATATGCCAACTTAGCACTGCACTGATGTCTTGGTGTTGATCTGAATATGTTGATTTCTATACAGCATTCTGTGCATGTGATGTTCAGGATCTTTTTGAAAGGCCAAGGACATGCCAACTCCTACACAGATTGAAGGAGAGTACTAGTGGTTATAGATTTGTTTACTCTGCCCCTTTTTATTTAACATTTGCTCACTGTGTGTTACAGGGCATGGCATTAACACCATATGGTGTTCTCTCAGAGATCAGTTTAGAAGAGATTTGAGTGAGGCATTAGAGAGTCTAAGCAGTTCCGAAGCTTCAAAAAAGCAAAAAGCAGTCTAGTTTGAAATGTTGTCATTCCTATGGAAAGTCATGAACGTTAGATCGTAACTGAAGTTTGGATCTTCATTCTGGAAAGTGAAAAATGTTGGTCTCTCTATCATGAGGTTTTGTGACCGTATGTACAATTCCTCTTTTCTTTAATACATTTTCATAGGATGAGGGCAAAGCTGAAGAAAACCTTGATGAGACACAAGCAGTGGAGGGAGGTGCAGAAACCCTTACTCAAGAGGATGAAGACCATTCCCAGTCTGTGGAGAATACAGCACGTCCAAGCCCTTCACAAAGAGCTGCATATGTAAATATACTATTGAATAATAAGCATAATCAAGGCATTATTGCAGTGCTCAGTTGGCATATCATCCTCTACAAGTTAGTCATGACAGGCCAACATCATCAATCTCAATGTAGCAAAAAGGCCTGAAAATAGAGATGGACAAAGCTATGAAGTATTTCATGAATGAGATGATCACCTCTAGTAGACTGGAGAGAAAGGATCCATTCTGCAATCTCAATAACACTTCTTGAGGACAATTAATCATGTGCTAGAAAAAGCCCCAGTAGAGAGGCAGTTGGAGATCCATCTGGGAATTTTTTAATTATGTGTAGGGATGTTTTAGAGCTGCCATGTCAGGAAGTCAATTGCCTAATTTTAGCCATCATGATCACCCTCAGAGGCCATACAGTCAGTATCAGTATGAGTCCCTATGTTTGCCAAGTCAGCCATATCAAGCACCCTATCTGCAACCCCATTTCAATTCATACAGCTCTATGCACCATACCCAGAGGCCTCCTTTTGTTAGCTGCTCTCCTGCTTAGTGGTCACAGGGAACATATCCTCCAAGTTCAAACCCCATCTCACATTCCTTATATGGTTCACAAGCACTTAACCAGTCCAGTTCTGGGTCTTTTTTCCAACCTTCTACCTCATTTTGACCATCTCCCGCCTCTTTCTATCAGGATTTGTAACTGACCAGCAGAAAACATTTTTGATTGAATTTGCATAGTTTATGCATTGTGAAAAAATGCTTTAATAAATAAAAATAAAAAGAATTAAGCAAAAAAAACTTTATTTTGCATACAGTTTGTACATTTTGCATAGACGTTCCAAAAAAAAAAAAAAAAAATAGTTATAAAAAGCAGAATAAAACAAATATCTTTTGAACATATCATGTTAACTATGTGTATTTTATGCTATTAAACATAAAATATGAAATACCCAGAAATTAGAATTACTATCTAATTAAAGTGTTACTAAACCCAGGACCCTGCATTCACTATATCTGGTCTCCCACAGTACACAGAACATGGAAATGAAATTATTTTAGTAAATATAAACTGCTAAATACCTTTTCTCATCAGCAGTTGGAGCAGTCTTGTGTCTTCTATCAGTGTTCAGCAGAGCACTGGTTAAAGCTTGTAGGAGGAGTTATCTAATTAAAGTGTTACTAAACCCAGGACCCTGCATTCACTATATCTGGTCTCCCACAGTACACAGAACATGGAAATGAAATTATTTTAGTAAATATAAACTGCTAAATACCTTTTCTCATCAGCAGTTGGAGCAGTCTTGTGTCTTCTATCAGTGTTCAGCAGAGCACTGGTTAAAGCTTGTAGGAGGAGTTTTCTTTCTGCTCTAGGAGGATGCAAAACCCCTGACCTCTGTCTGGACAGTGCTGATTGGCCCTGTGCTGATCACATGCACCCTCCCAAGAAGAAAAAAAAAACCTCTCTAACAATACACACTAAACTGTGCATGTGGCTACGGGTTCAGTTTGTCTTATCAGGAGATAAGACATGGATATTTGAACAAGAGGAGGAGCAGAGAAAACAGGATCAAATGGCCTTTTTACACAATGCGGAGGAATAACTCCTTAGGTTCCACAGTGAGTATAACAAGCATGCTTTACTGCATATACAGAGTGATTTTACTGTTGTGGGTTTAGTAACACTTTAACAGAACTTAGTTATTTAACATGTGTCATCACAGGACATTTTTAGGGGAAATCCTACCAATAACAAATTTGTACAGCATCACACATATTTGTATTGCCATGGAACCTCTCCTGCTGAAGAAAGTAGTTGGCAAATTTGTGATGCATGGCTAGGTATGAGCTCCTTGCTCTCACCCTGCTATTCTGTACGAAGGGCAGGTTGAACTCTTGATTTTCCTCAAGGTTTATTCCCTCCTTATCCCAGACAATATTATGCATAATGCAGTAGGCCTGAATTACTAACTCAACATTCTCTAGGTTGAGTTGCAGAATTATTTGGAAAACACGTCATTTACTTGACAATATGCCAAAAGCCCGTTCAACTAGTTACCTTGTGTGGCTCAGCCTGTAGTTAAAGATCCTCTTCTTATTGTCCAGATTACTTTTCGCTTAAGGCCTAAGCAGGTATATGGAAAGTGCGAAGGCCTCATCTGCAACCAACACAAAAGGCAGTTCTGGTCAGGGGCGGACTGACCATTTGGAAAATCGGGCAGTGCCCGAGGGCTCGGGGTCTGTAGGGGGCCCCATGAGATGCCCCTGGTACCTTTTTCATAGGCTTTTTTGAGTTTGGGCAAGGACACAGGGGCCCCATGATCCCCTATTGCCCAGGGGCCCTTTGAGTTGTCAGTCCACCCCTGGTTTGAAGTGCAGCTGTTGAGCAGTCTTCTTTAGCAAACCTAGTTAAGATAAGCCTAAAATACATGTGAAAATGAACCTAGAATTCCCTTACTAGCTGGTAAAAATAAATGGGACCCCATGATCCCCTATTGCCCGGGGGCCCCATGAGTTGTCAGTCCACCCCTGGTTCTGGTCCTTCTGTTCCAGGCAGAGGCTGATCAGAAGGTATGTTGAATCACCCTTCTTGCAGTCTTCTACCCATTACAGACTTCCAGAATACTCTGGAATCATAACTGCTGCCATATGCCCAAATGTCCACAGCTATAAATGTATAATTACTATCACAGATAGCCATGAGAACCAATGAGAAATATTTCTTGAAATTATAAAATCTTGATCCTGAACCAGGAGGCATTTGTATACAGATATGCTTCCCGTCAAGGGCTCCTATACAGTTTGGAAAGTTTGTCCAATTTCATAAACCGTCAGCTATTCTTCACATGTTTTCATCAGGGAATGGCATTGCTGTTGGGCACAGCTCTTCCCAAATAGCTAAGCAGGTATCATGCACTATCTCTGAAATAGTTTATATGCCCAGTAGGAAGTAATAATTTTAAGGAGGTATAGGACTGGCTAGTTGCAAGAAACCTATAAAAAAAGGAACATCTTTTTTAGCTTCCTTCTACTGCAGCACTCAAGGGTAAAACACAATTTTTTAAAACATTCTTTTTATATATATTGTGGCAGTACGGTATCCTGCCATGTTGGAAATCACGATGGAGACCCAGGATTCTCAACCATACAGGTTGAGGGGCTCCAGGCAGATCTCATAATGCAGAGGAAACTGGTTTATCAGTTTCCTCTTTGGTTTGTAAAGCCTGTTTTGGGACCTGTAGCCTGGAGATTTCTAAGAGATTTGGGAGGGATGAAATCTCCAATCCTGGGCCCATATTTTGGGAGCAGCCAGTGCGCTGATTGCACAGGTGTGTGCAGGCCTTTTTGTGCAGGCCAGGCCATGATTCTGAGCTCCACCCCGGCAGATAGGAGTCAGGAGGGCTCCACCCCGGCAGACGGGAGGTCTCTGCCTTGGAGTCAGGTGGAAGCCAGACTAGCTGTGTGCTAGTGACATATTTTGGGAAGAGTCTGCAGGAGGCAGACTTAAAACTGCGTACAAGCCAGGAGGCTGAATACTGTTAATTTGCTTGATGGTGGATACCCCTGCGTGGGAAGCATTTGTTACTTGAACTTTCTTAAATAAAAGTGGGCAAAAAAGCCCTTAAAGAAGCGAGTTGCTGTGTGCTTTAACAAGAAGAGCTCTACCACTTGAAGCGAGTTCCCACAATATATATATATATATATATATATATATATATATATATATACAGTGGGGATCGAAAGTTTGGGCACCCCAGCTAAAAATTTATATTAATGTGCATAAAGAAGCCAAGGAAAGATGGAAAAATCTCCAAAAGGCATCAAATTACAGATTAGACATTCTTATAATATGTCAACAAAAGTTAGATTTTATTTCCATCATTTACACTTTCAAAATAACAGAAAACAAAAAAATGGCGTCTGCAAAAGTTTGGCACCCTGTAGAATTTATGGCATGCACTGCCCCCTTTGCAAAGCTGAGACCTGCCAGTGTCATGGATTGTTCTCAATCATCGTCTGGGAAGACCAGGTGATGTCAATCTCAAAGGTTTTAAATGCCCAGACTCATCTGACCTTGCCCCAACAATCAGCACCATGGGTTCTTCTAAGCAGTTGTCTAGAAAACTGAAACTGAAAATAGTTGACGCTCACAAAGCTGGAGAAGGCTATAAGAAGATAGCAAAGCGTTTTCAGATGTCAATATCCTCTGTTCGGAATATAATTAAGAAATGGCAGTCATCAGGAACAGTGGAAGTTAAAGCAAGATTTGGAAGACCAAGAAAAATATCAGACAGGACAGCTCGCAGGATTGTGAGAAAAACCATTCAAAACCCACGTTTGACTGCACGATCCCTCCACAAAGATCTGGCAGACACTGGAGTTGTGGTACACTATTCCACTATAAAGAGATACTTGTACAAATATGGTCTTCATGGAAGAGTCATCAGAAGAAAACCTCTTCTACGTCCTCACCACAAAAATCATCGTTTGAACTTTGCAAATGAACATATAGACAAGCCTGATGCATTTTGGAAACAAGTTCTGTGGACCGATGAGGTTAAAATTGAACTTTTTGGCCGGAATGAGCAAAGGTACGTTTGGAGAAGAAGGGGCACAGAATTTAATGAAAAGAACCTCTGTCCAACTGTTAAGCATGGGGTTGGATCAATCATGCTTTGGGGTTGTGTTGCAGCCAGTGGCACAGGGAACATCTCACGAGTAGAAGGAAAAATGGATTCAATAATTTCAGCTAATTTTGGATGGTAACTTGATGCCATCTGTGAAAAAGCTGAAGCTAAAGAGAGGATGGCTTCTACAAATGGAGAATGATCCTAAACAAACCTCGAAATCCACGGGGGATTACATCAAGAGGCGTAAACTGAAGGTTTTGCCATGGCCTTCACAATCTCCTGACCTCAACATAATTGAAAATCTATGGATAGACCTTAAAAGAGCAGTGCGTGACAGACAGCCCAGAAATCTCAAAGAACTGGAAGACTTTTGTAAGGAAGAATGGGCAAAGATACCTCAAACAAGAATTGAAAGACTCTTGGCTGGCTACAAAAAGCGTTTACAAGCTGTGATACTTGCCAAAGGGGGCAGTACAAGATATTAACTCTGCAGGGTGCCCAAACTTTTGCAGACGCCATTTTTTTGTTTTCTGTTATTTTGAAAGTGTAAATGATGGAAATAAAATCTAACTTTTGTTGACATATTATAAGAATGTCTAATCTGTAATTTGATGCCTTTTGGAGATTTTTCCATCTTTCCTTGGCTTCTTTATGCACATTAATACAAATTTTTAGCTGGGGTGCCCAAACTTTTCAATCCCCACTGTGTATATATTTGGAGGACAGTACTGTTTACATTTCCATACTAGACCATAATAAAAAAAAAAAATTACACACTTGATAAATGAGCGACTTCTTACCTCAAGGTCACTAATAGACATTCATCTGAAGGCGCCCACTTTCTCATGTTGGTATGTATTCGCTGTAACTGTGGGTGCAGCTTGTCCAGTAAGTAGTTGAATGTGGCTACGGTCATCTTGGTGAACTTAAAAAACTTTGTAGGGTACTGTCAGAAATGAGCATAGTGCAGAGCCACAAAACTTTCAGAAAACCTCTTTGGTGGCATGGAATGGGTACAATATGTACAACGTCTCCTAGCCACATTCTCCTTTTTCAGGTTCTCCTGTCTCTGCATATAGCCAAACATGACAACCAATGTCACGCTGTCCCAAAAATTGCATGAATCCATTGCTAAACTGAAGCACAAACCAGCTAGCACACACCAAGGACACAGCAAAGACAAAGTGGAACACATGAAGTCACTCACTGAAAATGCAATGTAGCATGGGAGGAGCAATGCTTATTGGGTATGATCACCAAGACCGAAGAAAACGGACATAATTGGATGCAAAAACAGATAAAAATAGTCTGTAAACGCATGCATTAATGAATGTAAAAGGATGTTAACGGACGCATTGAGGAATATAAATGGATATTGACTAAACGGAATGAAACAGAAGGCGGGTGAAACAACGGACGTGAACTGATGTGAACAGAAGTTTATAACGTAGCTTAACTGATGTTGCCCATGTGAAACGGGCCGAAAGAAACACAATGTATGAAGACAATATTACAATATTACAAAAACATAAGTGCAACATGAAAAATATACTGTACTGTGCAAAAGTCTTAGGCAGATGTGAAAAATTGCTGTAAATTAAAAAATGCTTTCAGAAATATAAGTGTTCATAGTTTATTTTCATCAGTTAACAAAATGGAAAGTAAATGAACAGAAGAGAAATCCAAATCAAACCATTTGGTGTTACCACACAATTCTTCTAGGTACATTTGCACACAATTTTTGAAGGAACTCAGGAAGTAGGTTGTTCCAAACAACTATGAGAATTATGTATATAAGAAGTGCAGCGCTTGGTAATAAAAACAAATATATATATATTGGAATGGAGGTTGATCCCATACAAATATATAAAAAGCAAAGAAATAGTCCAGGAAATTAGTATGAAAATTAAAGTGCTCAGGTGACATGAGAGTCCGGTATCCGTGTGGTAGTGATAAAAAGTAATGCGCACTCACCAGACGCGCGTATTAAATGCGCTTTTGTGTATAAAAAACCCAGATGTCATCTGATGGTGGATGGTCCTCCTTCTATTTGGTATGAGGCTGGTAGTCCACTTCCACTAGGGGTCCCCCTGTGTGCTCCTGGTAGGTGGTATCCCTCTGGGTGAGCTGGGTTCCACTATGAAGTAGTAATCCGTCCCAGGAACGTGTCTGTGAACTAAAGCACTCCCCCAGGGGATGACAAGGACACTTCCATAGTGTAGTAATTTATAAAGGCTTTATTGTGATGCATCAAGGTAAAAACAACAAAATAGGTAGTTGCAGACAGTGATCTGACCGTCTGGTGTGGTAAGATGGCCGCCGGAGCAACGTGGGCGGCAAATGACGTCACGGCATGGTGTGGCTCCTCCTGACGCGTATCGTGCTCAAGCACGTCCTCAGAGGACGCTTGTACTACTTTCCGCATACAACTATGAGAATTAACCACAGATTTTCTGTGGATATAGGCTGCCTCAAATCCTTCTGTCTCTTCATGTAATCCCAGACAGACTCAATGATGTTAAGATCGGGGCTCTGTGGGAGCCAAACCATCACTTCCAGGACTCCTTGTTCTTCTTTACCTTGCAGAACATTCTTGATGACATTGGCTGCAGGTTTGGGGTTGTTGTGCCTGGACAGAAGCAAATAAAATCTTCTACATTGCAATGTCTCTTACCTGTTTGATGATATATTGTATATGGCTCTACTTATGGTATTTTTAGACATTTTTAAGATCATGGCTCTTAGAAATGAGGTCACAGTTAACTATTACTACTACTTTAAAGCTGAAGTCTACTGTTTGCTACAAGCACAGACTTTATTATAGCTTGTCCTGAAGAATACCTAAGTCCTATATGGTTCTAGTTTTTGGAATATCCCACCTACTGTAATTCCCTCAACCCTATCCAAGTTCTCCAAAAATAAAAAAAACAACAAAAACAACACCTCTAGACTGGTCATTGAAGAAATGTGTGAATGAACCTATGTGCCTGGCTGCGGGGCAAAGATTGTGGGGAAACCTGGACAGTATTCCTATAGCTCCTATGGGAGTAGCGCTACAAAAATTAAAATTCTAGCACAAGAAAAAAAATGCAGATTTTTACATGTATGACAGAAATGTCAGAACTGGCCAGGTAGTCAATGATATATTAAGTGGTCCCAAGTGGTTAATGATATATTAATGATTACACAGCTGCATTCATTTGTGACTTTTATTTCTGTCTAGAGTTGAGCTTTAAGGAGAATATATAATGGGGTTGGGTTACATATATTTTCTGTATATATAATTGTAAGGACTATAAATACTATATATATAAGCTGTAAAGTAATGTATCCATGGCTATTTAGAGCTCACTGTTGCTCTCCTGCTTTTCTTCCTTATTTATCTTTGCGAATGGCTACCTATACCTCCACGGGTGGGTTATTGGGGAACACTGAGTGCTTTCATTGTACAATATTAGCCATGTCTCATAAGGGAACATATACTTTATGCTGGTCAGGATCTGCTGTCAAGCTATAATTGAGTTCAGCGGGGAGCTTGTCATGTTGTCCGTTTTCCTGAGCAAAATAGAGAATTGAATGGATTTTTCAAACAAAGGAAGGAGGAAACAAAAGTTGCGAAGGCAAGTAAAAGTTTAAGGGTATTTCTATTTGTATATCGCAAAATATAGTGGGCCATCCCCATTGAAATGACAGCCTAACTCTAGATTTGATTCAGCTTTAATTGTTTGGTATGGCTGATCCTGACTAAAGTGGATGTATTACCTCTAAGTTATGTGTGCCTATGCTGAAATGTATCCCCTATTGCCTGTTTTGCAGTGATGTACTTTTTTTGGCTGCAATTCTGCTGAATGTATGCAAGCAAATCAAAAAATCATTATTATTATTTAAAAAAAATTGTTTGTTTGGATCAAGCTGTTCTAAATGAACTATTTCCTTCACTAATGCATGAGCCCACTGGGAGTATTGTAGCTACATACAGTATACACTGACTACATATACTGTGTTCTGACTGCATTTTAAAAATGAATATAAGGCTTCTGATTGGTTGAGCTGGATTTTGTGACATCATCCACCCACCTCTCCACCCGACTCGATTTTGTTCTGGGAAGGAATGGGAAGTCCATACCAGGGATGGACTGACCATTTGGAAACTTGGGCACTGCCCGAGGGCTTGGGGTCAGTAGGGGACCCCATGAGATGCCCCTGGTACCTTTTTCATAGGCTTTTTTTGAGTTTGGGCAAGGACACAGGGGCCCCATGATCCCCTATTGCCCGGGGCCCCATGAGTTGTCAGTCCACCCTGGTCCATACACAATGCTGTATATTGTTTGTAGCTGATGCTACATACAGTTTACTCAGTGCTCCCAGCAGGCATATCTATTGGTTAAAGTGTCTGTAAAGGCTGGAGGTTTTCTATGGTCATTCTTTGCATGAAGTTAAAAAACTTTCTGTGTGCTGCTCCCTCACAGCCCCTCTACTGCTCACTTAAGCCCCTTCTCGACCCAGTGATGTGCACCTTGACTGTCCCTGGTCTCTCTCTCCCCCCCACTGGCTGAGACTGAGCAGTGGGAGCCATTGGCTCCCATTGCTGTCAGTCACAGCCAGTGAGCCAATGAGGAGAGAGCAGGGGACAGGGCTGAGCCACAGCTCTCTGTGTCTTATGGATGCATAGAGTGGCACTTGGGAGCAAGCACGCACCAGTGCTCCCATAGCAAACTGCTTGCTATTGGGGGCACTGGTAAAGGGGGAGGAGCCAGGAGCACCAGTGGGAGGCCTGAGAACAGTAGGGGCTTATCTGTGCAAAACCATTGCACATAACAGGTATGTATAACATGTTTGTTGTTAAGAAAAAAAACAACACCCTCCTGAGGATTTACCCCCTTCCTGACCAGGCCATTTTTTGAATTATTTTAACTGACAATTGCACGGTCATGCAACGCTGTACCCAAATGAAGTTTATGTCCTTTTTCCCCCATGAATTGAGATTTTGGTGGTATGTGATCGTCTGTACGGGTTTTTATTTTTTTGCGCTATAAAAAAAAGGCCGACAATTTTGAGAAAAACACAATATTTTTGAATTTTTGCTATTAAACATGTCCAGTAAAAAAAAAATAAAAAAAAATCTAATTTTGTCATAAATTTAGGCCAAAATGTATTCTGCTACATCTCTTTGCTAAAAAAAAAATCCCAATACGTGTAAATTAATTTGGTTTACATGAAAGTTATAGCGTTTACAAATGGTGGTATAGATACTAGGATTTTTTTTTTTTGCTAGTAATGGCGGCGATCAGTGACTTATAGTGGGACTGCAGTGGGCATTCGGACACTGGGGGGAACTGACTTTGTGTCACTGACATTCCCAGTGACACCAATACAGTGATCAGTGCTAATAAAAGCACTGACACTGTACTAATGGCACTGGACAGGAAGGGGTTAACATGCGGTGCAATCAAAGGGTTAACTGTGTGCTGCGTGCCGTTTTACATGGTGTGCTTCACTGTAAGCATACTCCCCCCCCCCCGTCGGAGATGCTCGCCAACCACCGGGTGCCAGCAACTAATCACCTTCCGGGAAGGGGTTAACATGAATGTTAACTGTGTGCTGGGTGTGTTTTACTTGGGGGCGGTGTCTGTGTGCTTCACTGTAAGCACACTGCTTTGGATGGCTGTGCTGTCCAGATCAGTTCACTTGTCTTTACTGTACTCACACCCAGGGGCAGACTGACAACTCATGGGGCCCCTGGGCAATAGGGGATCATGGGGCCCCTGTGTCCTTGCCCAAACTCAAAAAAGCCTATGAAAAAGGTACCAGGGGCATCTCATGGGGCCCTCTACTGACCCCTTGGGCAGTGCCTGAGTTTCCAAATGGTCAGTCCACCCCTGCTCACACTTTAAAGTAGAACTGTAGGCAAAACTTTTTCCATCTTGGATATAGTATATGAGGATTATCAGCATTTTTGCCATCTGTGTCTTATTGGGAAGATTTCCATTCACTTCCTGCCCCATAGCCAAAACAGGAAGTGAGAAGAAATCCCCACAAATTAAGGGAAATCTCTTGAGGCGCCACAGGTCACCAGAAATAGTGTCCCCATTGGAAGATTTCCCCTCTATTACTGTTCAGATGTCAACCCAAAATTTGGGATTTACGTTTACGTTCACTATCAATGATAATAACAGTAAACAGGATAACTGGAAAGGGTGACTCCCCCTAACATGGGCAGAGGTAGCAATAAAAACCTGACAGTTATTCTAATCCATCTCTACTCTGCCCAAAATAAAAAAAAAGTTTTGCCTTTAATTATACTTTCTTTAAAGTGGTTCCAAAGGCTCAAGCTTTTTTACCTTCATGTATTCTGTGCATGAAGGTAAAAAACAGCAGTAGCCCCCCCCCCCCCGATCCAGCAATCTTCTTGACAGCTTCTGATGTCTGGGGGCTGTTCCTGCTCATTAGCTCTCACTGCTGTCAGTCACAGCCAGTGAGCCAATAAGCAGAGAGCGGGGGGGGGGGCCACGACCCTATGTGTCTTATAGAACAGCGGCTTGGGGACGAGCATGCAGCGGTGCCCCCAAGGCGAGCAGCTTTCCTGGGGGCCACTGCTCGAGGGGGATTGGCCAGGAGCACCGGAAAAGAAGAATACAGGGCTGCACTGTGCACAGAGCAGGTAAGTATAGTAATGTTTGTTATTTTTTTAAAAATAAAAATTAAGCTTTAGTGTCACTTTAAAGTCAGGTTAAAGGCAACTAGATATTTTACACATAAATATATTGTACAGCCAACGTAAATTATAATAAAATATGAAGATATCATCATATGATTAGAATTTCAGTCATCTTGCTGAATATCAGATCAGGAGTGGGCAGGGGAATTAGTGTGTTGATTATTGATAATATATAACATTTTAGGATAAATTTGGCCAAATTTCTATACTGTAGATGGACAATTAAAGTACGTTGCATGTGGATGAAGTTAATCTTTTTTTAAATTCATTTAAAAATACGCTGCTGTTTTTTCTATGATATAGCAAACTGTGGGCACTGTATAAATCCTGTATAATAATAATTGCAAAAAAATGGTTTACTGGTGATTTAGTATAGCAATCAACGCTGCATGCAATCAGTTGTAAGTACTGTGCTTCCATCTAGTGGCCACTATATACCAAAACATGCCAGTCTACATGTGATGATTATTTTATTTTTTAATTTGACATATACCCTCCTGAAATTTTAGGTATCCTAATATAGTCACTTTGTCTGATATTTATTTGCATTAAAATAATTATAATTTGAAAATACCAAATAATATGCAAATTTGTGCAATTTAAGGGGTGATTACCTCTGTGGTGGTGTTAAACAAAGGACCTCCCTTATGCTGGAAAGAAGTATCCTCTAATGCCATGCAATGTCAAACAGTTAGGATAGATTCAACAAGGTGTTGGAAACATTCCTCAGAGATTTTGGTCCATGTGACATGAGTTGCTGTTGCCTTTCTATCATCTCGAACCAATCTGCTGATTCTCCTCTGACCTCTGACATCAACAAGATATTTTCATCCACACAACTGCCGCTCACTGGAATTTTTCTCTTTTTCGGACCATTCCCTGTAATCCCTATAGATGGTTGTGCATGAAAATCCCAATAGATCAGCAGTTTTTGAAATACTCAGATCAACCCGTCTGGCACCAACAACCATGTCATGTTCAAAGTCACCTAAATCTTATTTCCTTCCCATTCTAATGCTCGGTTTGAATATCAGCAAGTCGTCTTCACCACGTCTAGATACCTAAATGTATTGAGCTGCTAATTACCAATTTGTATTACCAAGCAATTGAACAGGTGTACCTTATAAAGTGGCCGGAGATTTTATTAAGTGTTCTTGCATGGCAAGACCACTTACTGTTATCTCACATATTTATTCTTATTAATATAGCCAAATTTACCACCCTAACTCCTCCCACAGTTTTTACACTACATAGACAGTAATATACCAAAACATGCGGATTGTTCCCGTTTGGTGTGCTATTACTTTGTGGAACATTTCGCCGAATGGTTCACAAAATATTGATGTTTTTGTGGTGAAATTGGTCCCATAGGAATGAATGGCAGAATGTTCAAAACAAAAGTGGGAGCTGACAAAAGCTAGAGTGTGAGCTGAAAAATCAGGACATGATTTCTAAACTGCCATCACTCCCTCATTTTTAAACCCACCTACACAAATCTTATATCAAAATGTTCAGCTATCCCTGCTGCCACTAAAAATGTCCACGGCTAAGCCATAGTCCTGATAGTTTTCACAATATGACCATTTGTTTGCAACTCACGCCGCCCTTTGACATTCATTGAAACTCCGCTCTAGCCACCTCAAATTTGAAGGGCAATTTCTAAACTGCGACTGTGCCTTTATTTTTAATATTTCGGAGACATACTATGCATCAAAATGTAGGTCTGGGTCTTGTGATTCTCACAATATAAAGCTCTTCACTGTAGGATTTATAGTTTTTAAAACTACGACCGTTTGAAGACGCCAGTGAAGTTAGCAATTTGGAGCAGTTTGTTTTTAACCGCTCTTCTCTGCCCTATTTGAAATCTAATTTTGAATTCGTGACAGTTTGGCTGGCTTCTGGTTCAAGGTTTGGAAATAAGTTTTCTATAGTAGAGAGTATTTGAGGTGATAATGCTGCTAATGTTTTTATAAATGTATGTTTTAATGTAACTGTGAAGCACTTTGGGCAACAACATTGCAATTAAATGTGCTATATAAATAATTAAAAGTTGAAATGCATTTCTCACTCTATCAAGCTTGCCATGTGCACTTTTTACATTTGATCAATCAATTGGTTAGTGTAATGTTTACTTATCTTTACTCACTCCAAACACTCCACACAGTTACTCTGCCCACTCCATAAAGTTACTCTGCCCAGTCCAACCTTTTCACAGTTACTCCAGCCACTCCAACCACACAACAGTTACTGTGCCCACTCCATAAAGTTACTCTGCCCAGTCCACACCTTTTCACAGTTACTCCAGCCACTCCAACCTTACTCAAGCCACTCCACCCAGTTACTCCGCCCACTCCAGTTGTAGACTACTGGTGGAGGCAAGAACACTTCACACAATTTCCCCAGAAATTGTAGCTTTTCTAGCTATTATTATTATACAGGATTTATATAGCACCAACAGTTTGCGCAGCGCTTTACAATATAAGGGAGACAGTACAATTACAATACTTTCAGTACAGAAGGAATAGGAGGACCCTGCTCATGGAGCTTACAATCTAAAGGAAAGGGGAGGTGATACAAAAGGTGATATTTTATGTCCAGTTTGTGCCAATGAAAATGCACCATATATCATAGCGTGAATTCTGCATTAATTTTTTGTTTTTCGTGTCATTTTA